AAAATCATGAACAATCTTTTGAAGGATCTAATTATAATTTTAGAAAAAGTGATTATTGAAAAAGTTGCTGAACATGAATTTCAACTATCTTCTAGAAATCCTAATTGGGGTTGGTCCGAATTTTGTGAATTAAACGTTATATTTCCCAATGGTATTATTTCTGAGAAAACTGATTTATTGATTCGAATTCACTTCCTTGATCCTGTTGATAATACTCCTGTAATTCATCCCATGTCATTGTTATCACAATCTCTGGAAGATTATTTTAACAATGAAGCTTTCAGTGATATTACTTTCACTTTTGATTGTGGTTCAAAGCTTTATGCTTCTCGACTTGTCCTTACACTCCGTTCTACTTTTTACAAAGCTATGTTCACTGGTCGTTGGATAGAAACTACTTCTTCTATTATTCACGTCCAAGATGCAAGTTTTGAATGTTTTCATGCCATGTTTTATTTTTTGTACACTAATAAGCTCCAAGAGGGTTTATCGTTTAATACATTGAAAGGACTATATTATGAAGCTGACATGCGTGATATGGTGGATCTGGTTAAAGTTGTGGCATTAAGGGTTGCTGGAATGATAAATAATGAAAATTTTGATGATATGTTTATGATGGCTTATCAAACCGAAAATATTTGGTTGAGAAGCCAAGTTTTAAAATTTATTCAGTCTAATATTGATAGTTTGCGGACTTGTGAGGGAATAAAACGAATTATAGCAACTGGAAATGTTCCAGATATTTCAAATATGTTGGCAACCTAATTTTTGTCGCAAAAATCTTGATTAATATTTCCTAAAAAAAAATTATCAGAAAAATTATCAAAAATTATCAAAAATTATCAGAAAAATTATCAGAAAAATAAATTTAAATTTATTCATTTATAAAACTGCTTTTGTTTAGAATTCTAACGATACCCTTTCTTAGTCTGTGCTCCTGAATTACAAAGATATGTGTTTTCAGGGTATACAACAACCTCTACTTTTTAAAACAACCTCTACTTTTTAAAGAAAATAATCTAAAACACATTATCTTACATATGCACAGCACGATTAGCATTAGCCTTATCGACGCCAACATGTAGAATTAAAGTACGATATTTTCGTGTGATTACGCCATGAACGTTATTTCGAAAATTGTACAACTTAAAAATATGATGCAAAGCTTCGAAATGGCGCCATGCGCGTCCTGAAATAACGCGCATGTTTGGATCAATGCAACTTAGCCAATCACATAATGTCTTCCTATGCCGGACGATCAGCCTTTATCTCAATAACGCACATGCGTGTACTCAAAATCACATATGTAGTAAACCACTCTTTTGTTCATATTTCTTGAACTTGAGAAAAATGCGATGGATGAAGGCAAAAATAATTGCCATTCTTTGGAGGCATTAGTTTTTTTGTCTATCGTCTTGTTCAGTTCTCATAGGACGACTTTTATATAATTAGCTGTTTAAGTCTACTGTTATTTATACAATTAAAAGGTTTAAAAAAATAAAGCTACAGTTAATAAATAAAGAAAGAAGTATATAGGAAGTTTTATTAGGGTTGTAGGACTCCACTATTGAAGGTGATTTTTTGTTTTAGAAAAGTTGGCATAATAACTCCTTAAAAATAAACTAGGTTAACTAAAAAGGGATTTGAATCATTTTTAATAGTGAAGCTCTACAACTGAACACCTATATACTTTTTTCATTTATTCTCTGTAGTTTTTTTTTTTTAAAGTACTTTAAACTGTATAAATAATGTAAAATTAAGTAGACTTAAACAGCCAATCATTTGAAAGTCGGCTATGAGTTCAGTTCGTAGAACTGAACGTCCAGTGGTTATTTTTCGCTGTGCGGACTGTGCGCAGCACACAGAAACAAAATTCTGCGCACATTTTCTTTTGAACAGATGTGCAGATGCCGCACAGAAAAAAAATTGACATTTTCAAGTAGTGCGCACACTTGTAAAAAGTTGCTTATAAGTTTTGCCGCACAGAAAAGTTTCCAAATTGTGCGGTATCCCACAAAAAAATTGTTCACCCCTGTAATTTTGACCAATCGAATTTCAGGATCAGGTGTAACGTAAAAATCGAAATGAGAATAACTCTAAATTTTAATTAGGAAACCACTTTCTGCGGCCTAATTAAAAATGTTCCTTGTGATGCTTTACTAATAAGTGCTATATCGTTCTAATTATAACCCCAACTATAACACGGTTTTCTTGGTTTTCATTTTACACGTTTGTTTTGACCCTGATCTTAAATTTTGATTGGTCAAAATTACCGGGGATGAACAATTTTTTGTGGAACGCTACCTAACGCTAAATCGTAGAGTGTCCTAATTTCCCCCACCACTTCTGATTGGTAAATATCGTCTGATTGAGCGGAGTAGATTACTCCTCCGTTTGGCGTTGCCACAAAAATCAAAAAAAATAATATAGATTATTAATTGCCGTTATCTAAGAGCGCATTTATTACTGTCAAACATTGCAAAAAAATTTTGTTTTGTTTTTAATCGCCAAATTATGAACCTTAAATTTTTTGAATATTTTATTAATTCATTAGAAAATTTACAGTAATTTATTACATTTTACAAGATTGTCAATTCGAATAAACCAATTTCGGCTTTTTTTTCTTTAAAAAAAAAACTTTAATTTCACATAAAAATCGCCAAATTATCTTAAATGTTTTAAATATTTATTATTTCATTAGAAAATTTACAGTAATTTATTACATTTTGCAAGATTGTCAATTCGAATAAACCAATTTCGGCTTTTTTTTCTTTAAAAAAAAACTTTAATTTCACATAAAAATCGCCAAATTATCTTAAATGTTTTAAATATTTTATTATTTCATTAGAAAATTTACAGTAATTTATTACATTTTGCAAGATTGTCGAATAAACCAATTTCGGCTTTTTTTTGCTTTGAAAAAAAACTTTAATTTCACATAAATTTTGTATAAATTTTGTTTAAATGCATGCCGCGAAGAAAATAAATACTGTATGTACAAAAAAAAATAAATAAAATACAAAAACATAATACTTAAATTAATACTTATTTTGTCTTGCAATTTTCGCATTTGACGCTACTTGATGAATTCTTGATTCATTATTGTCGGTAGCCCGGGGAACAATTTCTATCCTTGCAATTCTTTCTCGTTCCATTTGGATGACATGCCGAAGAGCCATTCGTAAATTATAAATATCTTCTCCTTCCATATTTTGCCATTCTTCGGTAATTGCAGAAAGATCTTCTTGCAATTTTGCAAGTTGAACATCTTTATCGTTTCTTTGATCTGTGAGAAGATTACAAGTAGTGTGAGGATAGAGACCACGGACATATACGGTCGCATAATATGCGCATAAAATGCGATTAATTGTTATTGTTTTTACAAGATTTATGCGGCATTTGTGCGGGCATTTTAAACGCATAATAAAAGCATATGTATATAATTGTTAAATTTCTTTTTTATCATCTTAAATTCATAACTATCACATTTACAATGATAAATCAAATTTATAACAATACGAAATATGCACATGGTTCCTCGCATAAATATCGCATAATTTGAAATCATCACATCGCATAGCAATGCTTTTCAATGCGCATAATCTGGGGTCTCTATGTGAGGATTAGAAAAATCTGATTCTCCTGTATCCTCATCATGCATATTTTCATCATGTGCATGATTTCGTGCTAAAACGGCAAACACATGTTTGCATAGTAATTGTCGTGATTGAAAATCACGACAATTACAAATATAAGGGGCAGCGTCGGGGCTATTTTCATTATCTGTAAGATCTTTTTTTCTGACCGAATATTCTATATCGTCGTTTGTTAAAGAACGTATTATCCAAAGATCAGGCTGGATGTTGTAAATATTATTGTTATCAATGCGTATAGTCCCTGCAAGTTCACGAATTCGTTGCTGACGCTGCCGTGGATTCATCCTGCCGATTCTTAATTCATTCTGGAAGACGGAAAAATTCATGTCACGAAGCACAACTTCTACAAGAAGATGCACTTCGCCATCAAGTCGTCGACCTTAAGGATAGGAATTAAAATTAGTTAGCTATTTTTTGATAGCTATTTTTAACCCTATAGATAAATACTGACTAGTACTTAAAGCATTATAATAAATTAAAAAAAAATAAATTAAAAGTAATTAATAAATTAAAAAAAAAAATAAATTAAAAGTAATTAACAAATTAAATAAATAAATAAGTAAATAAATCAAAACAATACTGTATTATAAATATTCTAAATGTACACTTAAAAAAAAGTTAACTGCAATAATAATTATTTAAAACATTTTAAACAATCCATAATTAAACGATTTAATTAATTTTAACCCATACCTGGCCATCCTCTCATATAAGTATACTTCAGCTTACGATGGAACGATTCAATTAGATTATTCGTATCCATCATATCTCTAGCGGTCCCTCTTAAATATTTCATACTTCGGCTTCCACCAACACTCGAAGTAGTCCACAAAATTATTTATTACCTCGCTACCTATTTCTCTCCATTGATTAATTGCTCTTGCTATTTGTGCTTGAGCTTCTGCATCAGTCTATCCTTCCGTCTTTAGTAATCGCCAAAGATCATCCCAAACAGCTTCCTTTTGTGAATCAATATTTGTGCCATGTTTATTGCCTAGCTTTCTATGCCAAGACCATAGCACATAGAAATGATACAAAAACACTGAGATATCAGGAAAGCTCTCTTGAAATGATTTTATTTCTTCACCGGCATCATTGACCATAAAAATATCTGGCCTCCACCTTTCATTTTCACGTTTTAAAAAAGCAAACCATTTATTTAACATCGACGTTCGTTTAAATTCACTGATCAAGAACGCGACCGGGTATCCACTTCCTACCACTGGATGCTATATAACAAGCATAAACAAATGATATCCATGATGATTTGTCCCATGTGTTCCATCTAAACACACTACTCTCGTGAATTCCATTAATCTTCTCTGTTCTTTGGTCTGGAACATGAACATAAATCCAATATCGTCCATCTCGTTATATCTTCTGAATAAACAAACCCCGTCCATACTAATTATTTTATTATATCACATTTCCAAAGAATATGTCTCATCCTTATCAAAGTAAGCAGATGTTTTCATCGTATTATAAACGATCGTATAAATGTCATCGCGCGTTATTAGCCCATCGCGTAATTCCTGCACATCATGCGAATACGAATGACCTTCGGAATTAAGCGAATGAATCTAAAAAATTAATTTAAAATAAATAAATAAATTAAAAAAAAATAAATTAAAAAAAAATAAATTAAAAAAAAATAAATTAAAAAAAATAAATTAAAAAAAAAATAAATTAAAAAAAAAATAAAAAAATAAATGATATAAAAAAAGAAATTAAAAAAATAGAAACAAAAACAATAAAGACAGATAATTAATATAAAACCTGATTCTGTAATTCTATCGCCCAAAATTGCATAAGTTTATGTATGCTAAAGACGTCAAGCCCCTCAAGAGCACGCTGTTGAATAAATTGTCGAATATTATCGGAAAGTGGAAGTGTACACAGGTCTGAAAGTTGGCCAGGATGATGGTTATGATATTTATAGTAATATTTCAAGATCACTGTCAACGATTGAACGGGAAGTAGGATGAAAATATAACTTGTACACCTGCATTTTTTAGAATTTTTCTGTACCAAACGTGGTTTTTTATCTGAGCTTTTCCCAGCAACACTCTCATATTTCCTATAATGATGACAATATCATCTTTCAGACCA